CTCAATTCTTATGTATTTACATATCCAACACTAAAATACCAACCTTTACATATATGCTACCTTGCTCTACATGAAAAGTTGTATTTTGCTTTTTATAATAGTAAGGAGTTGGGTGGTATAAGTGTTAAAAGTAAAGTTTGGGTGCTATATATATGTAAATGCATAGGAATTGGGAGTTATGTATGTAAATGCCGCTAAAAAAATGACCCTTATATGTGCTTCATTTGTGATCTATGGCAGATAGACTTCGAATACTATTCAAATAATGATCTTTTGGTCGCCTTCCAGTGCGACCAAATGCTCTCATACAGGTTTGCATTTTCTGACCTTTGTAAATATTTATGGATTTTTTTAGAGGATATCCTGATGTATTTATAGATTATTTAATAGTACAATCAAAATTAAAAGGACACATACAATTAAATTATTAGAAAATTCAACCAGGTTATTAGACAAATAATTTAGGTGTTTTATAGTAGTGAATGTTTAATCGTCTTGGGGGATAATAAATGACATGCAAATCATGGAACTGGAAATATCAATCTGAGGTGCTAAATCCAACAGATACAAATACAAATTTCTTAGAGCAACCACTTCAAATTTACCAAGCAGCATTCTGAAGGACAACAGAGGATGTAAAGTGAGTATTGGAAGAGGAGGAATGCTGAAGATTCAGCACCTGGTATCGGTTCTTAGATCTGTCGGCCAGCATGCCTGTAATGACCCCATGCAGCAGCCCAGTCGAATCGCGTACATTGAGTTCTTCGTGAAACCAGAGGAGGAAGATGAGACTCCTATAGGAGATTCATAGTTTTTATGATTACTAAATGGTGTCGGTCCAAATTGTTCTCAGGCTATTTACTTGCCAATTTAGGAGATTGCTGATTATTGTGCCTTGTGAAATGAAGGCTGACGGCCGTCTTTAAAAAAAAAAAAAGAAAGAATCATTACTTTAAAAAGTTTAACAAATTGCAGACTTTGTTAAATTTAATCATTAATTTTGAAGTTGTTAATTTATTTTGTAATATAAAATTATATGGATAAGTTATATACATGCTATACTTGTCTTCAATAAAGTTAAGAAAATTATTGTGATCAAATTTAGGAGAATATGATCACCCAAAATTGCTCCTGAAGCACTTGTGCCGAAGAAATGATAACATAGAAAAAGTGAGTTTATGAAGGCAGCCAATGGATGATGGAAGGGTGGCTTTAGTTCCATAGAATGTACCTTGGCCTTTTTCCTTTGACATTTTATATTCAGTTAAAACATTAAGTAGCGTACATAATATTATTTAGTGCATGATATTGATTATTTACATTCTAACACCATAGATAAAAATGAACAGTCATTTATCTGATCATCAATGGTATTAAAAAAAATCAATAGCTATTATTGATTTATATCATTGACCATTGATATAGATTTGAAAGAAGTTATGGCATGATATTGTGTTGTGATGTCAAGGTGTTTTGATTTGTTTAAAAATGAATACAATATAAGAGAATGAAGTGTAATTGGAATGTTGTGTATTTCAAATGTCCTTTTTTTTTCATGCATAAAAGAAACATACGAGTTTATTTTTATGCTTGATTTGTGAAATTAAAATAGAACTAGTTGAAGGGTTGTCGATGGGTGGTTGGTAGGTAGTGGTGATTAGAGATGATTGCCAATGATTATAGACTTTGGTCCTACTCGGAAGGCTAGGGGTAGCAGTTGACAATGATATTTGTTGTAGTCGGTATTTTGTGCAAGTAGTTGTGGACGACTTCGCTTATTTCTTTATTTGAAAATCATTCTTTTGTCGCATGTGTGAAATGCATAAGAAATAAATTGCATGGTGAGTTTAATATTCACACAAATTTTGCAGTATATCTAAACTTTTCCAAATTAAACATCAAATTTTGTAAAT